CCCCAAAACCCCAAAACCCCAAAACCCCAAAACCCCTTTATACAATAAAATTGCTGAAAATGATTTTATCTGGTTTAAAACAATGGATAAATGGCTACTTCTTTTGGCTGTACACTTCCTTTACACTCTGTTCATGAACTCTGCTGCTTTGAAACAGCAGTCGTTTGTGAAGTAGTTCCCGATCATTTCTTTCAGAGCTGCAGAGTCGTAGTCGAAGTTGGTTTTGGCTCTCAGTCCGTTCAGGCCGATTGAGTAGCAATCGTGCACAAGAGCGGCTTCACGCTCGCTTGAGTAGGTTCCAATGTATCTCTTCTTGCCTGACACGTTGATGAGAACTTGCCAGCGCTTGCCGTTTCCGAGGACCCCGACAAAACGAGAGCGGCGAGCAGAGGTTCCGTTGTGGAGGCCTCTAGAACTCTTAGGTGAGGCTTTGAAGAAGATTCCCTTTGGGGATTCAGTCATTTCAAGGATGGATGACAGGGTTGATGAGATATCTGGTAGAGGCTTCTTGTTTACTTTCTTCTTTATTTCTTGCTTTGGTTGATCATAAAGTAGCGAACCATTGTAATTACCAACGTCTTTGATAGTAGTTTCTCTGATTGGCATATTTAAGGAGGCACTACTATTTGATGCAAAGTTATGATCTCCCCAACAATATTGATATGCAAAGATAGACAGAGTTGCTTCTAAGTCAAGTTTCTGATTCTATACAAGAAATTTAAGATTTCTCTTCTGGCGCTTTCAACTTACCATGAAAGGAACTTGTGTTTCTAATCAATACATGGAAAAATTGTTATACATCTTTATTTATTAATTATTAAATTTTTTAGTAGCTTTATATATCTTCATGGCATCGCATCTCCAAGGTGGTAAGGTTACCCCTGAAAATTAAACTCAAGCCTTACAGGTTGGTAAACATTCTGTGAAAATTAATTTCAAATGTCTTTCTGTCCGCCTCGATAATTTCGTATTCTTGGTTGATAATTTTCAATGAGAAAGATGAGCCATATTCTTTCTTCACAGAATGATTTAGCTAAAATTTAGATGTTTATTATTAATCATACTTATTTTCTATTCTCATCACAGGGTCTTGAGATCCAATGAAGCAAGATAGAGTTTAGATCTGTTTAAATTTGCTATCACATCAAGTAATTATTCATAACTGACTGAAATATCAACTAGTGAGAGGGTGCCTTTCAAGATTGAGCTAACGGAATATTGTAAGCAAATCATGATTAATTCAGATTTCTTATGATTTATCCCTAAATCAAGTATATCAGTCCAGTTCTCATAAACTCATAGTTTCATTTACATGAAATATTATTAAGATTCCATTCTTCAACTGGCATTTTGAAGGTCTGATCATGGTTCGAATTTAAAAATCGTACTAGAACCTCTGAATTTTTATGAATCTAGTCTTTATCTAAAACTAAATAGTTATTTATAGCTTTCATCAACATGTTAAAGCTGAAAATACGCTAAAATTAGGATTTCCTTAGCAATACCTATTTAGAACAGATCACAATAGCCAAGGAATTTAGTATCGACACTCCTTAAAACAAGGGCTAACCTAATTCTTTCAGGGCTGGACCTTATTTCATGAAGCACTAGCAGAGGTCTATCAGCCTTTTCCAGTCTCAAAAACATCGAGTCTCCTTGCCTAAAAGATTTATACAATTTTTGGTTATTAATCAGAGAAAAATTATCAGAAGTGACATTATTATTTTGGCTGCATTCACCTGCGCTTAATAGTATAATTAAGCTACAGTATTTTAGTCATTAGTAGAGAGCTTATCAGCAAGGATGAAAGTCTTGCCTGACAACCTAAACAGGTTTTGCTCATTTTATTAGGTTTTACTAATAATCAATATGGTTGTTATGCTAACCTCCTCTCTAGCTTTAACAGAAGCTTCTTTTGTATGCATATATGAGCTATTATGGCTTAAAAAGTTGTTTCTTTCTCGTCCTTATCATGCAATTTGTGAAATATCAAGTTTGTTATTAAGAAAAGAAGGTCTGATCGAATCTACTAATTTAAGCAGAAATCCATACCTCATAACTCCTAAAGTATTTAGGACTAGCAGTCCTTAGGAATAATTTAGTGAGTTCAGAGCCTTCTATGAAGAACTATTTGCTCTGAACGATTCTCTGAAATCTGCTTCAATAGACACGTTTTGGGTCCTATTCAGAATTAGTTTCTCAGCTACGAAATTTTCTTTAAGAAGGTCAAGATAATTTCTAAAGACTTAGATCCAAGAGAAGGCATTTTGATGTTGTTATTGAGGGCTTCAAGCCTCTCTTTGTAATTAAATCTCTTCAATAAGCTTGCTACCATTTTCTCTGACCTTTGAAATCAATGAAGAAATTAATTCTGAAAATTCAGAACTAAGGACAAGAAATTCGTGTAGAGTACATTTTTATGGATCCTCAAAAATGATAAATTTAAAGACATCTGGGATACATTTTCGCTATTTTTAATAATTATGAAATAAGAAAATATAGACTACAATTTCCTGCTCTTATTATTTTTCGGAAATTTTCTAAATTTTTTATCACATCCGAGTTCCAAACAATTCATCAGAATGACCGAAAAATTTTAAACCAAGATATTTTCTGAGATTTCTATTATATTTATTAAGACTTTATTAAATCAAACCTTATAAAACTAATACCAATATTATTTTAAACTTTGATAACAAACACCAAAGAGGAAATAAATATACACTGACCTAAAATCATAAAATTTCACCCCAAAAGATTAAGAGCTTCTCTTCTCCCTCTTCTATTAAAAATCCTCATAAAACCCAACTTAACTCCCTAAAATTTCATCCATCTCAACACCCATTTACATCCTCTCATACACTCCCCACCTCCAAACACACCTAAAACCCTCATCCAGCCCAAAATCTCAAAAAATCTCCACTTCTACTCACTCCAGCACATAAAACCCCCAAAAACCCTCCCTAAAATCTCAATGGCCCTAAACCTACCCCTTAACTCCCAAAATCCCCACTCAAACCTCTAAATTTCCGCCTAAAATCCCTTAATTTCCTTCTTAATAGCTAATTTTCACGTACAAAAGTTTAATTTCAACGTGAATTTAGAAGGCAGGGGTTTTGGGGTTTTGGGGTTTTGGGGTTTTGGGGTTTTGGGG